CAAAAATGTTACTGAGCAACTGACGAGTAACAAGTTCAGCGCAGATTTTCCTCGCGCTTTGGACTTTGAACCCTGGCGCCGTGAGCTCGTGCAGCACTGTCGTGCGTGCATTAGAAAATATAACATTCTGCAGTTTATTTACTACTCGTTTGAGGTAATTTCGCGATTTCAATCATCATACAGTAACCTAACCACCAGCATTAGCCACCTCTTCTCATCGGAGACGTGATGCAGCACTAAACAGTCTCTTGCTGTCGGTGCTCCGTGCTTGTAATGATTTCTGCGTCTTTCTCTGATAGTTTTAAATACTTTCACACTGCCGACATGTTTGCTGCATTAGCGCGTGCCTCTATTTGATCGCGTTCGTCATTGTTCGGTACATATTATTCGGCCTTTTCGCTTATTCGGCCGAACAACGAAAGAGATATTTTTGCTATTTTCGGCCGAATAATTTCGGTTGCCGAATATTCGGTGCATCCCTAATAATACAAAAGATTTGTTCTTTTAAACTTTATATTTATCAATCCTAAAAAAATGTATCAGTTTCCACAAAAATATGAAGCAGCACAACTGTAATAATGTGTTTCACTGTCAAGTGAAATCATGTGATCATGTGACACTGAAGACTGGAGTAATGATGCTGAAAATTCAGCCTTGAATCACAGGAATAAATTACATTTTACAATATATTCACATAGAGGACATTTATTTTAAATTATAATATTTTTTCACAATATTACTGTTTTTACTGTAGATTTGATCAAATAAATGCAGCCTTGGTGAGCATAAGAGTTATTTCAAAAGCATTTGAAATGTTTCACCAACCTTACCAAACTTTACAGTAATTAAAAAAAAATAGCATAGACAAATATGGGTTATATTTTAATTATATCTTGGCATTAAATGTGTGTTTATAACTAACATTTCTCTCATTCCGCCGGCCATATTGGATAGTTTTTTTTAAAGGGGTCATATGATGTTGCTAAAAAGAACATTAGGCGTGGCTGACTCTTAACTTTTATAAAGAATATCTCTTTGGATTTGAGACTTTAGTCTTTGCAACTTTACAGATCTTCTTTATGCACCAAGAGCTTGTAACACTCCAAAGAGAAAGGACAAATTTAAATCGCATCATATTACCCCTTTAATTAACCCTGTCACAGTGCATTATGGGATTATGTTGTCCGCAAAAGATGCATGTATTGCTGCCTGCAAAGGTAGATTGCTATAAATCCTGCCTATGTAGGCAGTTCACTAGAGTTTGAGCGAAAAAACAAGTCTGTGCTTTTCATTACTGTGATGGTAATACCATGGTATTCTTTGAAGTATGTTACTGTACAAATTAATATTTAGAATATTTTTCATGGTTTATGAATATGGTTATCAAATAGTACACATCAAAGTACCACATTTGTTTTGAAAAGAACTAATAGAAATGTGCAGTCCTTCATTCCCGTGTGCTGTCATGTGAGTGTCTGACTGTGGTAAATGGTGTCGCCTCACCGCAGGTCTGATTCAGGTGGGCAAGTGGAACCCCGTGCCTCTTTCCTACGTGACAGATGCACCCGACGCCACAGTGGCGGACATGTTACAGGATGTGTACCATGTGGTCACGCTGAAAATCCAGCTACACAGGTCAGTGTTTCCCATGTACTGTACCCACAGTGCCGCCACATACAGTGCTGTTTTTCCCACAAGCCACTGATGTGGGCACACGCAGACACACCTCTTCCTTTTTCAGTAGACGTCCATGTTCATCTGTCTGTCTCTATCTGTCTCATCTCCAGAGGCTGTGTGGCTGTCTCACACTTTAAGGTGTGCCGGATCCAAACTCTCCTTTTCTTTGTGTGTGTGTGTGTGTGTGTGTCTATGTGCAAACATGGACGTGTTAATTGCACATTACAGCAGTACTATGGCTCATCCAATTACTCCAGTGTTTTAAAGAACTATGAAACCATCAATATTTAATTATTAATCCGGGAAGCCTTTTTTTGTAAGACAAATTCAAAACTAAGTATGTAATTTTTTACTTGCAGCATCAGCTTCATGTACCTTAAAAAGCCATTTATTTACATTGAAGTAGGAATCATACAAAAAAAAAAGATTTTTTAAAAGCTTTTTAAACAAATACTGTGCAGCGATGAAATGGCACTTATTTTTAAATATTTCCTACTTTTGTATATATTCATATTTTTAGTATGTTTTTAGTTCATGTATCATTCAAAAATGTATATGCATGTATGTATGTATATATGTGTGTGTAAATAAATAAATATACGTGTGTGTGTGTATATATACATATATATATATATATATGTATGTATATGTGTGTGTATGTATGCATACGCACACACAAAACAATAATAATAATATAAAAGACTATATATCATTGTAATACATTCAGTTTGGTGTTCCTTCAGTGTTACCAAACAGGTTTCCCTGTCTTCCATTGGTCAGACAAACAAATAGTCACTCATCCTATGAGTTAAGTCAAATCTGTTTGTCTGATTGATTGCAGACTGTTTGAAAACAATCATTGATTTTGCAGTTCCGTTTTGTCACACTAGTGACGTAGAAATGACGCCCCTCAGCCTTTTTTCATCGCATGCTGGCGTCGAACATCTCTGAAGGGTTTATTTTTTTTGCATGGAGTGTTGCGATATTTTCTTGGCAGCTTGCCGTTTATTGCGTCCTATTGAACAAGCATTCATTAATGACACCCTGAATGCAGCTGTGTTTTCTCCGTTGATTTGATGATGCATTTTCATGTATAAATGTTAAATAAAGTATTTAGATGATAGTGGATGCTGGACTTATTTAATGCATCTAATATCAAAATCTAGATGGAAACACCTTAAATTGTTTTAGCAAGCACATCAAGACAGGAAGGTAGAAGTAACATGAAATAATAGTTGCCACATGCAGCTGATGTATAATTCATGCATCAATACAGCAGATGTGTTGTATAAAGTAATTAACTAATCAGAACAATCAGGAGAGAGAGAGAGAGGAGAGAGACTCCAGATGCATCTGCTTCATGAGCCAAATGAAATCTGTCTGTCTTAGAGGGACGCTTGCAGCAGGAGAGCAAAGCCCAGTGCTCACCGTCCTCTCTTTCTCTCTCTCTCTCTTTTGTTTCCCTGTTCCATCTCTCTCTTGTTCTATCCCTTCCTGCAGTTGTCCTAAACTGGAAGACCTTCCTCCAGAGCAGTGGACCCACTCTACAGTAAGAAATGCGCTCAAGGAGTTACTCAAAGACATGAACCAGAGCACTCTGGCAATTCATTAATGACACCCTGAATGCAGCTGTGTTTTCTCCGTTGATTTGATGGTGGATTTTTTTCCCCAACACATGCATAAATGTTCTAAATACTGGATTTTTTTTTCTTTTAAATAAAGTATTTAGATGAGAGTGGATGCTGGTCCTTTTTAATGCATCTAGCATCGAAATCTAGATGGAAACACCTTAAATTGTTTTAGCAAGCACATCAAGACAGGAAGGTAGAAGTAACATGAAATAATAGTTGCCACATGCAGCTGATGTATAATTCATGCATCAATACAGCAGATGTGTTGTATAAAGTAATTAACTAATCAGAACAATCAGGAGAGAGAGAGAGAGGAGAGAGACTCCAGATGCATCTGCTTCATGAGCCAAATGAAATCTGTCTGTCTTAGAGGGACGCTTGCAGCAGGAGAGCAAAGCCCAGTGCTCACCGTCCTCTCTTTCTCTCTCTCTCTCTTTTGTTTCCCTGTTCCATCTCTCTCTTGTTCTATCCCTTCCTGCAGTTGTCCTAAACTGGAAGACCTTCCTCCAGAGCAGTGGACCCACTCTACAGTAAGAAATGCGCTCAAGGAGTTACTCAAAGACATGAACCAGAGCACTCTGGCAAAAGAATGTCCCTTATCACAGGTGCTGGAGCCTTCCACGTCTAGTTGCCAAGATTCCAAGTGTCCCTTTTCAAATGCCCAGAGTTTGATGGAGTGGAAATGGACAGAATTGCCATAGAAATCCAAATCAATAGCCATCGTCATCCCCGTAGATTAATGCACTTTATGTTGATGCTGTTGCAGCAATGCTGGCCGTTGTGAATACGAGTATTGTTGGGTAAACAATGGGCAAACCACAATGATCTTGATAATGCATTACAAGCTGTGAACTGTTATGGGTGAATCTCACGAAACCTGTCAACATGTCGTGTTTTAACCTTAAAATCCAAGGAAAGAAAGAATTGTATTTTGCTTATGGAAAATTAGTTGCATTGTTTTTAAAAAATATATATTTTAATGACAATTGCAGCTTACGTTCCCATTACTGTAATGCAAAAAAAAAAAAAACCTGCA